GCTTTATCGTGTTTGTAATGTATTCTGTTGGGAGCTGCCCAGAGTGGCTGGGGAAACCCAGCCATATAGACGGGGTATAAATAATAAATTGTTGTTGTTGTTGTTATTATTATTTATTGAACACTCCGATAATAAATCTTCAACAGGCCAAATACTACACAGTACATTTCAACATATGCCAAGCATATTTTGACCAAAAGGCGTTCATCAGTGTCCCGATATTACGCCAAAGAAACTAAACCTGACAAATCTGCAAAATAATAATAATATTTTTTTAAAGGCATGCCATGAACAGGTTGACTCTTTTACAATAAAAAGCAACCATACGTAAAAGGAACAACTAGCTGATATTCTCATTGACAGGCTTTGGATGTTTGCATATGGAACTTCAGAAGAGGAGAGCAAAACGAGTCACTTCAACCCCCGCCGTCAACCATCTTGGACAAACAGACACATTTCCAATTATCACTAATTAAATATCTATATGATAAACGCCAACTTCACACATCCCAGATTTGAATGAATTAATATATAGTCATACCTTGGAAGTCGAACGGAATCCGTTTGCGAAGTCCGTTCGACTTCCAAAACATTCGGAAACCAAGGCGTGGCTTCCGATTGGCTGCAGGAAGCTCCTGCAGCCAATCGGATACCATGGAGGCCCTATTGGACGTTCGGGTTCCAAAAGAATGTTCACAAACTGGAACAATCACTTGCAAGGTTGCAGCATTCGGGAGCCAAAACACCCCGAGTTCCAGGGCATTTGGGATCCAAGGTACGACTGTGTAGCGTAAATGGGACTTTGGACTTAGCTACATTAGTAAGGAAACACCGTTTTGAATGCTTTATAAACATGCCACACCAGATGGCACCAGAGAGTAAAAAAAAAAAAATCTATGCGATTTTCCAGTGTTTTTCTCCCTTTTGTTATACAGTGGTACCTCAGGTTAAGTACTTAATTCGTTCCGGAGGTCTGTTCTTAACCTGAAATGGTTCTTAACCTGAAGCACCACTTTAGCTAATGGGGCCTCCTGCTGCTGCTGCGCTGCCGGAGCACGATTTCTGTTCTTATCCTGAAGCAAAGTTCTTAACCTGAAGAACTATTTCTGGGTTAGCGGAGTCTGTAACCTGAAGCGTATGTAACCCGAGGTACCACTGTAATGATTTAATTTCTGACTTATTTATAGGGTTTCTGTCCGCCCCCCCCCCATGTGTAGATCCACCCTATGTCTATGACTAAGTCTTATATCGGAAGCAGGAAACCAGCCAGGGAGACTATTTGGGCAATTAATTGCAGAGGAGAGAAAGGATTTGGGGAGGAAAAGAGGGAGTTTGCAAAGCATTCATTGCTTCCGTCTTCACTGTGGTGGAGGTGGGGCAGATACTTGTACCCTCAGTTACCGTTTCCCCCCAAGAACGGTGCTGAAGAACCAAGTCAAATAATGCCTTTGAGATGTTGTTGGGCTACAACTTCCATCATCCGTGATGCTGGCAGGAATGGAGGAGAGTTGGAATCCAACAACATTTGGAGAGCACTGTGGTGATCACACAGGATCCCCGGACATTTCACCGTCTATTGATCCCTGTGCCACCACTTTTTATCTCGCTGCCACCACCCAGGCACTACCTGGGACAATACTGAGTCCAGTCAGGGTTAAGTTGGAACATAAACTTCTGTTTATTTATTGCAGTTTAACAAGCATGTGGTTTCATAAACGGTCTCAGTCAATTACAATCATGGGGTGTCTATCCAGAACTTTAACTTCCGCTACCTGCTCTCACTTAGTAAACCACCTCTCAGATATTTACAGTGGTACCTCAGGTTACATACGCTTCAGGTTACAGACTCTGCTAACCCAGAAATAGTGCTTCAGGTGAAGAACTTTGCTTCAGGATGAGAACAGAAATCGTGTTCCGGCAGCGCGGCGGCAGCAGGAGGCCCCATTAGCTAAAGTGGTGCTTCAGGTTAAGAACAGTTTCAGGTTACGTATGGACCTCCAGAACAAATTAAGTACTTAACCTGAGGTACCACTGTACTTGTCCTCCTAGCTCCTAACTGTTCCTGACTCAGCTTATTTTGCTACACTATCTCAGCCTACCCACAGACTCTATCCCTATTCACTCCCACTCCAACCAACCACCCAACTCCCAACATACTCCTCCCTTCGCCCCTCCCAGAGCTGATTTTATAGTCCCTCTCCCTCTGACTCCACCCCCCGGTTCTGATTGGCTAACCTGTTTAACTATTTCACCTCCAGCACTCTCATATGTTAACGTCACAAGCACCATGTTGGCTGTTATGTATTCAGTGGTCTGCGTTTGCCTGGGCTTGAGTCTGGACTAAGGATTCTGGGCCCCTGTGTTCTGATTCGATACATGATACCCAATCACAGAACATTTCAGGATTTGAATCTCTGCCATTGGCCCTTAAACTCTGAGTCATGATTCGCAGCTTGGAAGTTTAGTCAGCCAATCACGTTGGGAGTGGGAGTGGCCCAGGCCTTTAGAAATATATATAAGCAGTTGCTTGACCCTGTTGTCCGGTTCTGTTAGTTCAACCAAGGTTCTTGCTATTATCACTGTGTCTTGCCTTGTGGGAACCCACCTATACTTCATTGGCTACCTGATTTACACACACACACACACGTAAATCTTTCTGAGTTTACCTTCAGAAGCAAGGATGAACAATTGGCAGCCATCTTCTCTGAAACAGATTTTTTTTAAAAAAATGCCTTTTATATATGCTGATCTCCTGTTGCTTCATTGCTGTTCTTTTGGAACTATAACAGGTCCTTAGACCTGAACAGATGCCTGGCACACAAGAGATCAAATGACTGTTTTGTTATTTCCCTTCCCTGATTGACAGTTTAAATCTTGAATGTAATGGGGCATGATCTCTGAGATTAATTAGTTCTGCCTGAGCTGTGCGAAGTCTCACATGTCGGAACGCATTGCCAAACTCCAGATTTTGGCTGATTTTCAAAAAGAAATGGAATATGTATTCCTGGTGGTGCCATGTTATCTTCAGTTCAGCATGGGCAACCTTCCTCTACTTAGATCCGGGTTCAATAAAGGTAGAAACCAGCAGACTGACTATAAACAGTGTTTACTCCTTTTGCATAGGTATTGATTTACACCATTTTTGGCCCCAGGACCACATTACCTTCTGGGGACCATATACAAGCATTGGATATGGCCAGAGGCAAATGTGGATGATATAATGGATCATCCTTTGTACAGTAGGCAAAATCCCAAGCACACAAAAGCCAGAGGTTTCTGCACACATAGACAGACCGCCATTCTTCATCTGGAATGCCAAGAGGCATAGCTTGAGGACACTTCCTTGTTATGTGGAATTGGCAAAGTTAACAGCTAAAGTAAGAGAACTCGACGGTGGTCATTTTGTTGAAGAAAGAATGGAAGCCTTTTTGGACTATTTAAAGAAATAATGTAGTATGAGGAATTCGCGATCAGGATTCGAACCATGGGCAACAGAAGGAGTTATAGATTATTGAATTGTTATTATGGTATAGGACAGAGAAGATAGGGTGCAGCAAGGGGGAGAAATAAAAAACAACACCATGGATAACAGGGTGGGGAGTCGAAAAAAAATGAAAGAAAAAATTATTATGCATTGGAGTGTATGTGTTAATTCCTTTGAAAATTTAATACAATATAACTGGGGGTGGGGTGGGGGGAGTTTGAAGACCCTTTCCAGCCAGGCTAAGCCACCGGAGAAGTTGGAGAAGGAATGGGTAAGGGTGTGGCTTGGAGAGGGGTCATTGTTAGAATTCCTGCTCCATGATTGCAGTCATGGGATTTTTGTCTATCACATGACGGTATATGTTTTGACTCCACAGAGTGGGAAGTGACGGAGACAGGATGTTTGTGTTACTGTGTTTCGTGAAGTGGGACTATTGTCCTTTGGTCTTTTTCTCTTTGCTGTCTGATGCTAGAGAGAGAGGGAGCCATGTTGCAGTGCTCCATGTGTGTTTATATGTAAATAAAGTAGATTAGCCAAAATGCTGAATTGCTGAGGTCTGCGCAAACTGCAAGCTGCACAAACTCTGTGGATCCCTAAGTGTGTCGGTGTCAGTTGGCATCGGTCGCTGTGATGTTCGGGCAGAAGAAAGCTTTTGAAGCTCCCGAACGAGCGACCAGGAGGGAGGGAACATGCCAGTCGGGCATGTGTCTCTGCCAGGGTCCTACTCGAGTGTAAGCTGAACCTCTGACAGTCATGAGCTCAATAGAGTCACAGGGGCCAAATGCAGGAGGTGTATTTGGCCCTTGGGTCTGAGGTTCCCCATCCCCATTTTACACTATTCATCCTGCTAGGTTGATTCATCATCAGTAGGCTGGAATGAGTCACAGCCACTGTGATTGGATCGTACGCACATTGGGTTTTGCAACTGGGCTTTGAAGAGTGAGAAGAGAAACCTTTCTCTTCCTTTTCTTGGCCTTCTGGACTCTGTAAACACACATTGCCTCCTCCTCTCTTTACATATGTGCGTATACACTTACCCAATTAGGTGGTCACCATGCTTTTGAGAAAGTGGGATCTAGCCCAAGGAAGCTTGCCCCAGTATATTTGTTGTTTCTGCTGCTACCAACTCCCAAAGTTACCAACCCCGCTGGGATATATTGTACCAGGTTCGTTAAGTCAAGACTGGTGGCCTTCCGTCTTCCTGCACCAGTCCAGCAAGCCAACGTAGAAAGTGGTGAAATGAAATCGGAAATTCAAGCCTGCCAAAAAAAATGCTCAGCGCAGTGGTAGATCCAACATTATTCTTACTCAGTCGCTTTGGAAGAAAATATGGAGGGGAAGGTCTCAATTCTCAGCTTCTCTAGGTAGAAGTGTATTGATAGTGTATAGAAAACACTGAGTTGGCCGGAACAATGATCTGCCTCTGTATAAGACAGTTTCCTGTGTCCCCATTAATCCCCTGCCCCTCCTTTCTCTGCCAGTGCATCTAAGTCCAACCCTCTGCAATGCAGGAATATGCAGCCGTGCCATACGGGGTTTGAACCTGCAACCTTGGCATTATCAGCCCCACGCTCTAACCAATTGAGATATCCTTTGAAGGTTACTCAGAAACTACAACTAATCCAGAATGCAGCAGCTAGACTGGTGACTGGGAGCGGCCACTGAGATCACATAACACCGGTCTTGAAAGACCTACTGTGCTGGTCCCGGGGGCTAACCGAGAGACGAGGTCCGAGTTCAGTCCGAGGTCGATGGTGTGGTATGGAGGCTGTCCATCAAAGCTGAAGCTGGGTCCAAGGCGGGGAGTTGGGTGAGGTCAGGAGATCCATCAGGACGGGGTGCAGGCAGGAACAGGCAAGCAACAACATTGCTCCTGCAACCTGGGACTGGGGCTGGCCGGCTTTTATCTGCCCCAAGGCATAGGGCGGCCCCGATCCTCTGGTGACTCGCCTCTCCTGGCCTGGAAGCGAGCACTCCTCCTGCAGGAACTTAGTTCCCTCCGCCTCTCTGCCCTGAGCCGCTGCAGCTCAGGAGAGGCTGGAGGGTTACCGGACCCAGAGGCAACCTCAGCTTCCTCTGACGGGGATGAGAGTGGAGCACCTGCAGGCAATGGGTCTTCCATCACCTCAGAAGCCAGAGCAGACTCAGCTGATGCCTGCACCTGACAGTCCAGCACAGGTGAGAACCCTTCAGGCTAAGGCCCCAGGCCCGGCTCAGCTGGTTCTGGAGGCGGGGACTCCTGTGCAGGCTCAGCCTCTGAGTCCAAATCCCAGGCCACCACACCTACATTGGTTCCCAGTATGTTTCCGAGCACAATTCAAAGTGTTAGTGCTGACCTTTAAAGCCCAAAACGGCCTCAGCCCAGTATACCTGAAGGAGCGTCTCCACCCCCATCATTCAGCCTGGACACTGAGGTCCAGCTCCGAGTGCCTTCTGGCGGTTCCCTCACTGCGAGAAGCAAAGCTACAGGGAACCAGGCAGAGGGCCTTCTCAGTAGTGGTGCCCGCCCTGTGGAACACTCTCCCATCAGATGTCAAGGAAATAAACAACTATCTGACTTTTAGAAGACATCTGAAGGCAGTCCTGTTTAGGGAAGTTTTTAATGTTTGATCTTTTATCGTGTTTTTAATATTCTGTTGGGAGCTGCCCAGAGTGGCTGGGGAAACCCAGCCAATTGGGCAGGGTATAAATAATAATAATAATAATAATAATAATAATAATAATAGACGCCTATGTCCTAGACAGAAACGCACATTGCCTTGACCCCCCCCTTCACTTATGACTTTCTTAATATTGTCATTGAGTTTGTCCTTCTTGGCTACAAATGGGACATTTAGACATGTCTTCTTTTCAGCCGGAATTCACCGGAATTGAGTTCTAGCACCTCTCAGGTGGGCGCCATTGCCATTATAAGAGAACAAGGGAGGCGTTCATGGTGAGGTACCCCAGCCACTTTGGGCGGCTTCCAGCATATATAAAAAGACAGCCAAACATTAAACCTTAGAAAGCTTCCAGTGTGGTGTAGTGGTTAAGTGCGGTAGTCTCGTAATCTGGGGAACCGGGTTCGCGTCTCCGCTCCTCCACATGCAGCTGCTGGGTGACCTTGGGCCAGTCACACTTCTCTGAAGTCTCTCAGCCCCACTCACCTCACAGAGTGTTTGTTGTGGGGAGGAAGGGAAAGGAGAATGTTAGCCGCTTTGAGACTCCTTAAAGGGAGTGAAAGGCGGGATATCAAATCCAAACTCCTCTTCTTCTTCTTCTTCTTCTTCTTCTTCTTCTTCTTCTTCTTCTTCTTCTATACAGGGCTACCTTCAGATGTTTCCTAAACGTTATTGAATTACTCATCCCCTTAACATCTAATGGAAGGGCTTTCCACACTGCATTTAGAGCTCCTGTCTAGTCTACTACAGTGGTACCTCAGGTTACAGACGCTTCAGGTTGGTTACAGACGCTTCAGGTTAAAGACGCTTCAGGTTACAGACTCCGCTAACCCAGAAACAGTATCTTGGGTTAAGAACTTTGCTTCAGGATGAGAACAGAAATCGTGTTCCGGCGGCAGCAGGAGGCCCCATTAGCTAAAGTGGTACCTCAGGTTAAGAACAGTTTCAGGTTAAGAAGGGACCTCCAGAACGAATTAAGTTCTTAACTCGAGGTACCACTGTACTATGCTCTGCATTTGGAAGTTCTTCTCTATCCTGTTGGTGAATTTGCTTAATTGTGTGTGGATGAGATGTTCAGAAACTTTATGGTCTTGAGGAGACTTCCTTCATGGGTTCCATTTTTATTTTTATTTTTTTTAAAAAAATGCATACCATGTTGATGTGATCGCAATACCAGATGCTGCAGAAGTGGTCTCCAGATTGCAGAAAATCCACTCCTATGCAAATTCCTAGCTGCTGACGGCATCTCTCCAGCTTCACAGGAATCTGAGCATATGTGCTCTCTTTTGCCGAGGGAGGCTTCTTGCTCATGCAGAATGGGGCTATTCTTCTCCTTCGCTAAGAGCAGAAGCCGCCATGTTGCCAAGCTGCCACACAAGCATGCTCAAAGTGGTTTGAGTGGTGGTATCTGAAATGGAAGGTTCCGATCCACCTGGACCAATCGGATCACCCAGAAAGAAGCAGTTGCAAAAAAAAAAAAAGGATGTAGATTCATCAATAAACAACGTAGGCAACCTGGACAAACATTCCCCAGGGGGGAAGTTAGGTTCGGGGACAAAAAACAATTAAATATTGACTCAGACCTTTGACCAGAGTGGCTGTTTTGGACAAACAAACCATGTCTCTCCCAGGGGACGGGCGGTATATTAAATAGCTCGAGAAAGTATTTGACAAGGTAACAGCATGTTGCTTTGGGTTTCACTAACAGACACAGATCCTTGACAGGTTCTTAAAAATATGTATATATGTCAAAGCAGTCAATTTATCTGCCTCAGAAGAAAAAAAAAAAAAGTTATCAAAATCGCGTTCCTTTTTTTGCCAAATGAAAACATGTCATTTATGGCAAAGTTAACACTGACAGGGAGCAGTGCTTTTGTGAGAGTAAGTCCCTTAGCCAGCCTTTCACTTGACTGAGGAGATGGTGGGTCTTTTTCCCCCCTCATGAAAATGTAGGTAGTCAAATGAACACGTTCAGTGACTTCGTCCGAGGTGAGGGAGCCCTGTTGTCCCACCTCGCGGAAGTCCCCCAAAAGGGTAAATTGGAGAGTAATGTATGGTGACATGATTTGTTGTTTTTTAAAAAACAAGAATACAAAGAAGACAATATTCCTAAACATGCAAAATGCTCATGGTTGTGGCCCTGAAAAAATGGAGAATCATGATGGAAATGTGACTGAAAACTGTCTTAGCGTCTGGCAGCACTTTTGGAACACTGAACTTTTGAATCATTTTTTGCTTTGGGTAGCATTCTGCAACATCTTTGCACCCAACTTTATGTGCGAAATTTGTAATGCTTCATCTAAGCCACATGTGAGGAACCTGCAGATATTGCTGGAACAGTATTCCCACCATCCCTGACCACTGGCCATCCTGACTGGGACTCATGGGAGCTGAATTCCAGCAACTGAGAGAGGACTCTAAGCAGTGAAGTGTTAACCTGTTCTGCTTCCATCAGTCACCAGAACGGCAGTGGCCATTAACATAGCTGGTTGGTTTTTTTAAAAAAAGAATTAAACAAATGGATAGATTTATTGGCCATGTTAGCTGAATGAAACCTCCATTTCACAAGCTGTATATGTTTGAATATGTGTGCTTCTCCCCCCACCCCTCCCTGCATGATCCACCATGGAAACAACAGGAAAAGTTTGTATGCCAGTAAAAGGTAAAGGTAACCCCTGACCATTAGATCCAGTCGTGACTGACTCTGCGGTTGCGTGCTCATCTCGCTTTATTGGCTGAGGGAGCTGGCGTACAGCTTCTGGGTCATGTGGCCAGCATGACTAAGCCGCTTCTAGCGAACCACAGCAGCTCACGGAAATGCCGTTTACCTTCCCGCCGGAGCGGTACCTAATTATCTACTTGCACTTTGATGTGCTTTCAAACTGCTAGGTTGGCAGGAGCAGGGACCGAGCAACGGGAGCTCACCCCGTCACGGGGATTCGAACCGCCGACCTTCTGATCGGCAAGCCCTAGGCTCTGTGGTTTAACCCACAGCGCCACCCGCGTCCCTGTATGCCAGTATGTTGCCCCAAATTTCATCACTTTACCTCCTGAGATTTTGTGGATTACAGTGGTACCTCGGGTTACATACGCTTCAGGTTACATACGCTTCAGGTTACAGACTCCGCTAACCCAGAAATAGTGCTTCAGGTTAAGAACTTTGCTTCAGGGTGAGAACAGAAATCGTGCTCCGGCGGCGCAGCAGCAGCTGGAGGCCCCATTAGCTAAAGTGGTGCTTCAGGTTAAGAACAGTTTCAGGTTAAGTACGGAACGAATTACCTGAGGTACCACTGTTATAGGTTTGCAAGTGGATTTTTCTTTTTCTGAAAGCAAGTAACACAGAAATGAGTGCGGAACTTCCACCAGATTCCGCTAGGCTTCCTTAAGTGACTTTCACGTCAGGTGAAAGCTGAAATATTTTGGGAAATAATGGGGAAATCAGAATATACTGCTGTGTGAATGCAGCCTACGTGGTTCATTAGTCTGAGCATTTTGCTCAGTTATTCTCTGCCTCAGTAAATGCCTGCCTTCTTGCCCTCTGGAGCCCACCAGGCACTTAAGGTTGTGTGAATTAGCACAGGAAAAGACTAGTGTTTAAGGAGATTTATCTTTAAATCTGAGGATTTTAGTTTAACTGTATTGTGAATTGGACTGTTCGATTCCTCCCCCACCCCCACTCCCAGCCTCTGAACGGAAGTGTAACAGCATTTTATTAGCTGAGCAGCTGATTTGAATTTTAGCTTCATTTTATACTCTGCCTTTACTGTATAGTAGCGTTTATTTCTTCTACCAACTCTCTTGGACGTTTTATCTGTTTTATATCCCATTGAATTCTCCGTGAAACTGCACTAGTTTACAATAATTTTATTACTTTATTAATTAAACGTTTTCCAACAAGCTAGCTATGGCATTTCTTATCATCAAGGGTTCCA